TCCGGCTGGAGGGACCCTGCGCGCCGCCGGCGGCCGCCAGCGCGGCGCGGAGGTGGGCTCGCTGCGGCGGCGCACGAAAGGTCACCGCGGTGGCATTCCTCTCCGCGCGCTGTTTACGTGACTTAATGTACTTCATACGCCGCCGGTAAGTTAGGGCCGCGATAAGGGGGTGGCCGGGGGAGGGTCGCTGTAAAAGCCCCACGCTGGGCGCCTTCTAGCCCTCCCCTCATCCATTAACCTTTTTACTTTCTTCTTCTCTCTCTTTTTTAAAGCTTGTTATCTAGGCCACCCAATGACCGACGAAAGATTTTCCCTCCCTGCTTCTCCCATGGCCGCTTTAAACCAAATAAATTTAGCTATTAAGGGCCAAGATGTCTGACAAAAGATCGAAAGGTGTCTTTCCTTGATCGTTTAAAGAAGCGAAGGAGAAGCTTGCGGCTTTCCAGTCCCGATAAAGAAATTCCACAAAGGCGCCTGCCTCCCTCCTCGCGGCCTGGCTGCGCCCTGACACCCTGAGATCCGGACTTCAGCAGCCCTAGATCTGGGATGGGCCCGGCGGGACCTGTGGCCGCTGCCCGTCCAGGGAATGTGGAGGTACCCAGGCTGCTGGGCCTGGGAGTGCTGAGCTAGGGGAGACCCCTGCATGCCCCAGAAAAACTAAAAGGCTCGGTGGAACCCAAATTATCATCTCGTTTTGACTGTTTTCTGATACTAAATAATAGAAGCAAAACCCCTCCACCTTTCCAACCCCGATTTTTGCGATTCTGCTAAGGGGCACTGTGTGCGCCACAGCGCTGGTCATCTTGAGCAGATCTCATTTTGAACCCTAGTTAGAACGTGGTGGGTGGAACTGGGCTGCAGAATGAGGTTGAGACCAGTGGTGAGGGTGTGGACCACAGACTAACGGCGTGCAGGTGGGAGGCAGAGGTCCAATGGTTCATTCATCCTCAAGACGGTTCGGTTACCAAGTATGGTATTATCATTATTAGTTACCACTGGCATGGCTACATAAAGCCTAGGGCTGCCAGCTGGGCCTCAGCCTTGCCCCCGGGGTGATCCCTTCCCTTTCACCAAAGGTGCAGCAGGGAATATCCAGTTTCCTGATCCAGGACCCTAAACTGGGCTTGGGGAGTCAGATGCTGAGGTTTTTGTCCTCCTTCCCCAAGAGTCTTTCTGCTCCCCTTAA